AGACAGCAGAACATAGATTATTATAGATATATAACACTGCAGAATAGAACAGATCCCTCAGGAAATAAATATCACAAATGAGATTGCTTTAACATCTCAATAGTTTCTAGATGGGAGACTTTTTGCCTTGAATAAACAAAAAATGTCCTCACCCTCAAGCCATCCAAGATGTAGATGAGTTTGTTTCTTCATCAGGTTTGGAGGAATGTAGCATTGCATCAGTGTCTCAGCAATGGATGCTCTGCAGTGAATGGGTGCCGTCAGAATGAGAGTCCAAACAGCTGATAAAAACATCACAGTAATCCACAAGTAATCCACGGCACTGGAGAAGAATCTGGAGAAGACAAAAGCTGAAACAAATCCAGCATTAAGATGTTTTTAATTAAAATCTGAGTCCGTAATCCATAATAACACTTCCTCCAGTGAAAAAGTGGTCTGGTGTGAATCAGGAGAGAAATCTGCACAGATCAAGCAGCGTTTACAAGCCAAAACAGCTCTAAACAAATATGTGGCTGGATTTTGATGTGAGAGACAACAGGAGATGCACTTTTTCACTGGAGGAGGAAGCGTTGTTATAGATTATGGACTCGTATGTTAGTTAAAAACGTCTTGATGGATTTGTTTGGTCTTCTCCAGATGTTAACTGATGGACTGGAGTGCTGTGGATTACTTGTGGATTATTGTGATGTTTTTATCAGCTGTTTGGACTCTCATTCTGACGGCACCCATTCACTGCAGAGCATCCATTGCTGAGACACTGATGCAATGCTACATTTCTACAAATCTGATGAAGAAACAAACTCATCCTAATCTTGGATGATCGGTGAGGACATTTTCATTTTTTGGTGAACTGTTCCTCTAAAGTATGCATGCATAAAGTATGTTTCTCTAAAAACTGCTGTCATGCACCGGCCTTTCAGACTATCAATCACAAATATATATCATAATCACAAAGTATATCATAGCATTAGCATTTTTAGAATTGATTCCCTTATAAAATTATCAAAATGCATCAAGGAAACAAGAGAAATGAATTTGTACACGTTCAGTTTGAAGTATTATTCGTGCATTGAGAATAGAAATGCTTAAATTGAGTTTTAACACAAGGAAGCAGGTCACTCAAACAAAACATATGAAATGACAGCAGTTTTGATCCAATCAGTTTTATTGTTGGCTTGTCTCGAGTTTAATAAAGAACAAAAACACATCAACAAACGTGAAGTGAAGCATAAAAACATCAAAGTTTGATAAAGTATGTTTCTGGCCTAAATCGTCTAAGTCGCTTTGGATAAAAGCGTCTGCTAAATGACTAAATCAGCAGATGAATGTGTGTCTATGTGACTGCTGAGGCCTAAAATCACATAATAAATGTAAGTGAGTCCTAATAGAGAACTAGAGCAATAATGAGCAACACAACAGCACAGCATACTAAAATTAACTGTGTATAAAAACTGCTGTCATGCACCGGCCTTTCAGACTATCAATCACAAATATATATCATAATCACAAAATATATCATAGCATTAGCATTTTTAGAATTGATTCCCTTATAAAATTATCAAAATGCATCAAGGAAACAAGAGAAATGAATTTGTACACGTTCAGTTTGAAGTATTATTCGTGCATTGAGAATAGAAATGCTTAAATTGAGTTTTAACACAAGGAAGCAGGTCACTCAAACAAAACATATGAAATGACAGCAGTTTTGATCCAATCAGTTTTATTGTTGGCTTGTCTCGAGTTTAATAAAGAACAAAAACACATCAACAAACGTGAAGTGAAGCATAAAAACATCAAAGTTTGACCTCAGAAAGCAGATTGATCTGAGCGTTTTAATACGGGTTTAATAAAGAGATCCAAACATATGCTCGTTATTGTGTGAAATACACATTTCCATGCCACTTCTGCTAGTTATTGTACAAAAACAATACTGAATAGGGTGATTAAATGTGATCAGATACTAGAATAAAAAACTACTAAAAAATGTTGTCATTAAAAGCAAGTAAACAGTGATCGTTATGAAAGAATAAATGAGTAAAGACAATTTATTTACAGAAGAAAGTGGATCTCTATAAGCTCAGAGCAAACAGAAGAGTGAGATGGTGGATTATTCGTCATCATGTTCACTAAAGAATACATGTTATCAATAAACACACAGAGCAAACAGACGATACTGAGAGGAAAAGAGATCCACAACAAACACATCTGCTCCAAAACCTAGTGCTCCCTACATAGGTAGCATCCGAACTGAGACTGAACCTCACAAGTGAGAGATTCGGAAGCACTTCTGTGTGTTAAACGCCATTTGATTTCAAGAATTTGAAAACCTTGTATTTTAATAAAAATACAACTCGCACAAATAATGGATAAAATAATGAATTAATTAGAATCAACTTTTTATCAATATTTTCCACCACTGAATGAAATGTGTTTTTAACTTCATCACACATAATGCATTAGATTGAACTGAGCTTGTTGATCTTTCTATCAAAGTGATATTAAAAAACCTTAAGGAAGTTGCATCTTTAAGTTGTCTAGTTAAGAAGCTCACTAGGATTAAGAACAGATCCTGAACTGCAAAAAATAACTTTCTTAATCAGTATTTTTGTCTTGTTTTCCAGAACAAATATCTAAACATTCTTAAATCAAGACACAATTACTTGGAGAGCAAAATTACTTCAAATATTAAGTAAAATATTATTCAAATTAAGTGAGTTTATGCTTAAAACAAGTAAAAATATGTATCAGTGGTGTAAGAAAAATTAACATTTATTAAAACTCAAAGGAAAACATTTATTTTAAAGTGTTTTATTAACCATATTTCAAGGTAGCATTTGTTGCACTGAACTTAATTTATGCGAAATTTCTCATTTTAACTAAAAACTTTTTATTTTTTAACTTTGAGATTTTTCATTTGAGAGGAAATCTAAATTATTGAAATTTTTCAGAAAACAAGACTTATATTTTATTAAAATTATGTGAGTTTATGCTTAAATATCCATGCACAAATTAGGGAAGAAAAGTAAAAATTTAATTCAAATTTATTTTTCTGACCTATTGTCATATATTTTCTCATTTTAAGTATAAACTCACTTAATTTTGATACCTTTGTTTAGAAAATAAGACGTAACATTTTTGCTTCTGAAGTTACTGTATCTTGATGTAAGAATGTTTAGATGTGTGTACTGCAAAACTACTGAGTATGAAAAAAATACTGAGTATGAAACTCATTTTTGAGTCTCATCTGCAGTTTAAAAAACACTTAAAACTGCATAAACAAAACACACAGAAACACATGCAGTTATCTCAAATACACACACACACACACATACACACTTATATTCTCTTGCACACACACACACACAGACACACTTACATTCTCTTGCACACACACACACACAGGAAGGACATCGAGACACGTGTAACCAAGCAACAGGCGTGTGAAATTAACTACAACACGTCACATTCACACACGCTTCAGCAGGTGAGAATAAAATCCGATCAGATCGTGTCTGAATGAGACACGAGAGCCTGCGGCCTCAAAAGCACCTGGTAAAGTATGTGAACACTCACTCACACTATTTAAAATGTGTCAGAACGCAATTTGTAAAGTATGTGTTCATGCATAAACTTTCTTCTAGGCTCTGTTTTCTCTTTCAGGTCGACGTATTGATCTTTCCGAGCCGGTTAAACTGTTGACATGTTAGTATGAAGTGACCTGAATGGAAATAAAACTGAGATCTGAAGGAAACTCTATCGCCCTCTTGAGGACTCAGTGTGTCTGTGTTTGTTTCTGTTCAGAGAGTCAAATCCTTCTGATTCAGATTCGAGAAAACAGAAACGATTCACCTGAATCACGCGGAACACAGAGATAGTTTGACGTTCAAGCACCTGTCAATCATCTCTGTTCCAGATCTTTCCGATGCTTCATCACAGTTTATGTGAGAAGATAAATGAACTGATTCAGTTACAAACTCAGGTTCAGTTCTGTTTTGCTCATATTTCACCCCAACATCAAAAAGAAATGAGAAATTACATTTTGCATAAAGCAGGGTTATTATAGGTGAACTAAAATTAAAACTAGTAAAAAACATTTTCATTGCTTGAAATTTTTTTTAAGTGAAATAAAATATATTTTTTTACAGCTACTTGCCAAGGCAACATTTTTCATTTTAATTTAGTTTAACTTGATGTACCAAAATAGCTCAAATTAAAATAAAACTTAATAAAAACATTACAAAATTACTAAAACGAAGTACTTTAAAACGAAAGTAATTTAACTAGGTAATTTAAATGAAAACGGAAAATGCAATTACATTTTGCATAAAGCAGGGTTATTATAGGTGAACTAAAACTAAAATTAAAACTAGTAAAAAAACATTTTCATTGCTTGAAATTTTTTTTAAGTGAAATAAAATATATTTTTTTACAGCTACTTGCCAAGGCAACATTTTTCATTTTAATTTAGTTTAACTTGATGTACCAAAATAGCTCAAATTAAAATAAAACTTAATAAAAACATTACAAAATTACTAAAACGAAGTACTTTAAACGAAAGTAATTTAACTAGGTAATTTAAATGAAAACGGAAAATGCAAAAATATAAACTAATTGAAAATATTAATAAAAATAACACTGGTATAAAGAACTTTTTTTTTTTTTTTTACATTATTTTTACGACAATTAAACATGTTACAATTAGCCATATAATATTAATAATACTATATTCAAATTGTAAAGTCAATTTAAAAGTATTAAGTATATTTCATGGTATCATTTATTAATGTTAAATTGATCATTTTAATTAAAAACCTTTTTTCTGGGCAGGACGATTTTTAATCCTCTATCACAGTGATAGAACGGGATTTTATTAATGTTTGGATATTTAATTTGAGAGTAAATGTGATTTAATAATCATAATGCAAAAAAAAAAAAATCAATGATTTTAAAAACAGGCTTCATTTCCTTTATGAAAAATATAATTTCGCATGTTTTTTTTCTTTTCATTTTGGTCTGAAATGTGAGCTGAAAGTTGCTTTTCTTCATGAAATTCACTTATTTATGAACGTAAGGGGTTTCACTACGATTCTAGTCCAACATTTAGAGTTAAAGAGTTGCAATTGAAACCAAATCATCAGCAAACACTCAAAACCAAGACAAAGTAAAGCCTCATGGGTAAAAAAGAATTCATTATTGTGCCATTCAAAGGCATGAAGAGCGTCTTATTTCATGAACATGAATCATTTTGGGCAGTTTGGTCATTTAGTATTTCATTAAAGCATTACATCCAAAATATCTAAAGCCGAACAAACATGAGCATGAGCTACCAGAGCCTTCACCTGCTGCGTGAACAAATTAATACGACTATTCTATGAAGATGAAGAGTCACCATCCGTCTGCGTGAAATAACCAATAAAAAAACATTTTCTAATGAAGAAGTGAACGGAGGGGTTAGTGAAACCTAAATAACAGCGGTAAAAAAGAACGATTATTTCTGTCCTTTCCGTCTGCTGCGTTTCCTCTGACATGGAAACACAGGAACAGAGGTCACGACCCCTGCGTTTAGCCCCGCCCCCCTGGTTTAATCCCGCCCCCTGTGCCCCGATCCGTGTCTCCGGTGTCGTCGATGCTCGCGCCGAGATCTGTGGTGTTGCCGACGGTAACGGTGAGATCGCCGTGCTGGAGGGAAACAAAACGGTCACATGACTACATCTGATTTGCATTTACATTTAACATTTGGCAGACGCTTGTATCCACTGCACTGAAGGTTTACATTTGATTGGTTCAAGCGCCATGCTCTATTGTTCAAGTCAGAAGCAAGTACCAAATAACCAGTGAATTAACCGCTTCTGACTGCACTTACGGCATATTTAATACTTTTACAACCATAATATTACCATTCAAAATATATTAAAATTAACATTTCATTAGATGCAAAATAGTTTTTGTCCACAATTCAAGTCAAATGTATTTGTATAGCACATTTCTCAATACACATTGTTTCAAAGCAGAAAATCTTGATGTTAAGGTTTATAATATCTTAATATCTTCATGTCTTATAGTTGCATTTAGCAGATTAGAGCTGTGTGAAAATATGATTCACATTTTGTGACGATACAAGCAATACAAGCAAAAAATATAGCGTTAGTATACTGTATCTACGCTGCAAAAGATGATTTCTTGCTCATTATTTTTGTGTTGTTTTCCAGTACTATTTCTACAAATATCTCAACTTTCTTAAATCAAGATACTTAAGAAGCAAATTGACTTAAGATATTAATGCATCAGAATTAAGTGAGTGTTTGCTTAAAAGAAGAACAAATATCTCCTAATGGGGTCAGAAAAATAATCTGGTTTTCCCTTTGGCAGATGTTTTGTTTTAAGTATAAACGTCAACAAGACTCAATATCTTAAGTAATTTTGCATATCGATTAAATGTGTCTTGATTTATGAATTTGTCCTGGAAAACAAGACAAAAACACTGAGGAAGAAAATCATTTTTATACTTATATATCCATACATTATACATTTTGTGACAAAATAAAACAATACATAATATATATTGCTTTATGTGGGTGCATGTATGCAGAAAATATATATTTCTGCTTGTTTTCTAAAAAATAAAAAATAAAAAAATAAAAATAACACTTGCTTTCTAATCTTTTTGTATTCTATCTGTTTTCTTTTCATTTATTATACAATTAACAAAAGCAAAAAAGACCTCTAACACTAGCTTGCTCTATTCTTTTTCTATTCTATCTGTTTTCTTTTTATTTATTATTTTAAAAACCCTTGCTACATGTACTGCATTAAGCTAACTGAGACTTGTTATAGCACTTGTATATCATTGCTCTTTTGTTGATTTTGACTGCTTTTATTGTCCTCATTTGTAAGTCGCTTTGGATAAAAGCATCTGCTAAATGTCTAAATGTAATGTAAATGTAAATATATAAAGTGCAGTGCAATAATACAATTCACATTTTTGTGGCGATATATGAACAGTCACAGAGATGAGAATTGCTATACAGTATACTGTATGCACGCAGGTAAAGTAGGTTGTATTATACATGCATCTTTTAATACATAGCTGAGTGGGTTACATTTTTCAACGATATGACAATAAAGCATGGTGCTACCTTAGTATTTTTAAGTTTCACATTCATCAAAAAGCAGATCAGAGTTTTGAGACTCACATTTAGTGCAGATGATCTTGGGTCTTTCCCAGGTCCCGGTGGGTCGGCAGCGGACAGTCGGGATGTGTCTCTGGAAGAAGCCGTCGGCGCACTGGTACCGAACCACCGCGTGGATGTCGTAGTGTGAGCGTCTGCGGCCCACTAGAGAGGCGTTATCGACGGCAGGCGGAGTGCCACACATCACTGCAAACACACAGCCATATCATAGATCATAAACCATCAGTGCTTGTCTAACGGAACTGATCCTTAACATGCAAAAACTTAAAAATAAAAATTGAACTCGCAACATAAATGTTTTTTTCCCATCAGAATATCAGCCAATTTGCATGCCACTATTTAACAGAATCACATTTTATTAAGCGAAATAGTAATTTTGGTTAATTCTGGTTATTAAATTAAATGTAATTAATTATAATTTTATTTATTTTTAAACATAAATAATAAATATAATTTAGTGTATATTTAAATGTTAATTAATACATATAATTTAGTTTATATTTAAATATAAATATTTACTTTTCTAAATATAATTTAATTCAATTCAATATATTTTTTATATTTAAATATAAATTCATTAATATAATTTAAATATACATTTAAAAATATAATTCAATTTAAAAGTTGTTGCTTTATAAAAGCGGATATGCAAAATGTGCCAATAAAAACAGCAGTTAAGAGCATGATTAAAACAAAAAGGTAAAAAAACTAAAATCCAAAGTTCTCATGCATTTCATATTTTGCTCTTTGGCAAGCTACAATAAAGGCTTTCGTTTTTTCACCCGACTCTATGATGTTCAAAGAGTTGATTTTTGCCTAACTGCATGCAAAGTAACCAAAATTTGTACAGCCTTTACAAAACACATCTATGTGTCAAATTTTTTGCATGCACATTCATGACACTAAATGAGAAAAAAAATCTCAAATTTTTAATAAGAAATAGTTTAACCAGTGTTTCAAGAAAATCGAATGCAGCTCAAATTCGCAATCGACCACGGATAAACCTGTATTTTCTGTATAAACACTTCAGGTTCCAGGAGGGAAAATACGATTAATTAAATGTTAACCTTTTCAATTTAAATGAAATGAAATCCTGCAATCCAGGCACAAACGCTGCATCTCCAGACAATGAGCCTGATTTCCATAGGCAGGGAGCCACCGGCCGTAAATCTGTCCTCTGGCGTCCAGATCCTGGATGTGCCACAAAGGACGGCATCGTGAGAAATGTAGTGCAGAGCCCAGAGCTTAAACCCACAATCTGAGCCTCTGAATACTCGTACCCTAAAAACTGAGACCTCGTTGTGTGGAGCACTGAAAGACGGAGTTTAGTCTCTCATTCAGAGTCCATTGAGATGCCACACAGAGCTGATGAAGCAGGACTGAGGGGCGATATGAGACCGAACACTTGCTGAGGAATCAATGGACACATCAAAACACGTTTAATCTGTGCTACTGGTGAGAAGATGACAGTCAAAGCGACATTGAGATGTTCGTGCAGTTTATTAAGTGCAGCTCACACACACACACACACACACACACACACACACAGGATGATCGATAAGCACTTAAACTGGAAAACACGCTCGGTTCTGAGGTGTGTGTCAGTGAAGTGAGTGTTGGACGATGCATTAAAGGGGTCATATGATGCGATTTCATTTTTTCCTTTCTCTTTAGAGTGTTACAAGCTCTTGGTGCATAAAGAAGATCTGTAAAGTTGCAAAGACTAAAGTCTCAAATCCAAAGAGATATTCTTTATAAAAGTTAAGAGTTAGCCACACCTACCTAAAACGGCTCGTTCGAACACGCCCCCACATATCTACCTCACTATGTGGGAAGATTTGCATAACACCGCCCAAATGGGTCAGAGAAGATTACTGGCTGCTAATTCAACTTTATATGCACACGGTTTATGCCTGTTTTAAGACTAAGTAAAGAAAATGTAAGAAATAAATTGAAGGGAACACAAAACCCCCTGACATTCTTCCTCAGTATTTTTGACATTCTCCATTGCAAATCTCTAAATATTTTTTTTGTTTTGTATTTTTTATATTTTTTTGCAGTGCATACAACATTTATTCTACAACGCCGGTTGCACCGCGCTCTTCCGTCACTTAATCTTTTTATTTTGGTGCGTCAATCTGTTATATGACTTCATGATCCGCACTCACGAAAACAGTCTTCTTTTTCCGTTTTATTTTACATTCATCGTTGATGGGAAAAGACACAAACGTTTCGGCTCAAAGCCTTCCTCAGTGTGCAAAACTATTCCACCCACTTTTCAAATCACTGATTATACTGACGTCATCATTCATTAGCCAATGTTCAATTACTAAAATCATTCAATCATTTCCATCTACAGTGTGAAAAACAATGATTGTTTATGACGATGTATTTCTGATGTTTTGAATCAGTGGATTTTCCATTGTTATACATTTTAAAGTCAATTGGTGGAGTAGATACTAATGGTTGTTTACTTAAATTACAAGATTGTATAATAGTGATAAATATATATTTACATTTAGACATTATAATTATTATATTTATATCTTATAAATATAAGATCCTAGATCATTTTTGTTTTAATCACGGATATATTGTGTGGTGTACTAGTGGAGGTGATGTTGTATTTAAATAGTATTTAAACGGAAATGATTGAATGATTTTAGTAATTGAACACTGGCATGATGACGTCAGTATAATCAGTGATTTGAAAAGTGGGTGGAGGGATTGAATAGTTTTGCACACTGAGGGAGGCTTTGAGCCGAAACGTTTGTGTCTTTTCCCATCAATGATTAATGTAAAATAAAACGAAAAAAGAAGACTGCCATGACTTTATGAATTGAAGACATTCTGTTCTGATTTAAGACATTTGTAAGGCCTTAAATTATATATATATATATATCTCTTTTGCTCACCAAGGCTACATTTATTTGATCAAAAATACAGTAAAATCTGTAAAATTGTAAAATATTATTACAATTTCATATAGCTGTTTTCTATGTGAATATCTGTTAAAATGTAATTTATTTCTGTGATCAAAGCTGAGTTTTCAGCATCATTACTCCAGTCTTCAGTGTCACATGATCTTCAGAAATCATTCTAATATGCTGCTTTGCTGCTCGAGAAACATTTCTGATTATTATCAATGTTGAAAACAGTTGTGCTGCACGATATTTTTGCAGAAACTGTGATACATTTTATTTTTCAGGATTCACAGAAGAGTATAAAGTTCAAAAGAACAGCATTTAATTGAAATAGAAATCTTTTCGAACATTATAATAAATGTCTTTACTGTCACATTTGATCAATTTAATGCATCCTTACTGAATAAAAGCATTAATTTCTTTCAAAAAAAAGTCTCTCACCGGTTCCTTTCTTGCAGACGTAGGGTAGATTGTAGTTGCAGGGCACGTCGTTCCATTTGCCGTCCTCTCTGGTGATCATCACCACACAATCCTCTCCGCCCGCGAAGAAGTTATCCGGCTGATTCTCACGCCAGTTCTCATACACCTGTGAGAGGAACAGACAATGTCCAATTATTACAAACGAGGGAATGTGCACGGAAATCTGAATGGATTGAATAAACCACATTAACAGTCAGATTGTTGCAGAACATGTAAATACAGTCAGTGAGTAAAACACTGCAGTTTGAGTTTGATTTCATCACAGTCTACAGGTGAAGGTTCAAGTGATGTTTATTTGGGACTGATTCATTTAAAAATGACTCACAACATCCATCCCATCAGTCCACTGGAAATCCTCTTCCACTGTACGATCGTTCAACCCGATCCAGACGTTCTCATGACCCAGACCTGAAAAACAATAGATTTCCCTTATATTGCCATCCAGTAAAAATAGTTTAAATATTTACTTGAAGTCCCCCTGAGATTTTAAATGAATATTTCAATAATTTAATAACACATACCAATGGTTCTCTGATATTGGATAGTCAACAAAGCAGGTAAACAAAATATTTTGATTGTTTTTCAATTATTTATTTTAATTTTACATTTTTATTATTTAATCACCAACTCTGCTTGTACTATGCTTGTAAAATGTTAAAGTTTTAAATTTTTTATATTATTTTATATAATGTTTTGAAATTATTATTTGTATTAATTTATGATATTTATTTATGTCTTTTTTAATCTAGGCTTGTGACGGACCGTTAAGGAAGTCCTGCTCCATGGAGGAAGTGATGCTGGTCAGGTGACTGCTGTGCTCCCTGCAGTCTTTCTCTGCGTCCTCCCAGGTGTGTCTGCGTGGAAACAGACGGTAGCAGTGACCGTGAAACTTCTTCCAGCCGTGTTCACAGCCCTCTGTGTCTGCAGACAGAAAAAAGACATCACTCACAGGGTTATTATAGTTCATTAAAACTAAAACGAAAACTTAAAAAGAAAAGTGTTACATGAAATGAAATAAATATTAACTGAAATAAAATATAAAATAACTTTATACTGCAAAATCAACATTTGTCACTTTAGGGATAAAAAAAAAAAAAACATACGGAAGCTTGTTTCAGCCGCAGGATAAAAAATTTTAAAAGGTAATCGCGACTTCTTATCTCACAATTCTGAC